GATAAAGTACAGGTAGTCCTCGACTTACAACAGTTCGCTTAGTGACTGTTCGAAATTACAATGGCACTGAAAAAAGTGCCCCCCAAGGCACAGCTGAGCAAGACACCTGCCTGCCCACCCAGCGGCACTCTTCCTCCTGTCTGAGGTTTCCATTGTTGTGAGCATTTCTGTTGAGGATTGGCAGCGGGAGTGGGGTGGGGGGGTGTTTGGTTTTTATTCCCCCCATCTGCTGGGCAGTTGCAACAGGTTTTGGTCACTTCACATGACCCTGGGACACCATGACCGTCATAAATATGAATCAGTTGCCAAGCATCTGAATGTAAGTCACAAGACCTTGGAGATGCTGCAACATTCCAGCTGATCGGTGTTTCTTCTGGGCTCAGCAGAAGCACCAGGATCAGTGCTGCTTTCCAGCTGATCGGCGCTTCTTCTGGGCTCAGCAGAAGTGCCAGGATCAGTGCTGCTTTCCAGCTGTAGCCTGGCACTGATCCTGGCGCTTCCGCTGAGTCCTGACAGCCCCGAAGAAGAGCTGATCCTGGCACTTCCGCTAAGCCCTGACAGCCCTGCAGCTCCAGCCATCTCTCACTCAGGCTTGTGCGGTGCTGCCACCAGTTCAGCTCATTCCCCTCCCCCGCTACCACTTTTCTAGGATGGTCGCGTAACACCTGCCAGGTGCCAATGTACCACAAGTGGTACCCGTACCACTGGTTGAAAAGCCCTGCTGTAGAAGGTTGCCAAGTAATAAAAGTACCATCCCACTCCAATTTAGAAAGATTTGTAAAATCACTTAGATTTTTAACTGGATATAAATTAAAAATTGAAGAATGTAGAAACTTTTGATAGGAGCAATAAATTAACTCAGAGAATGTCCTAAAAACCATTCTTGTCGCACTGGTGTGTCGAATATCTATAGACATCTTCTTTTCCTCTTATCATTGCCTATTAAAAGCATTTGATCACCACTTTCGAAATATTAATTGCTTATTAAGAACCATTGCTGCTCTGTAAGCTGAGCATTGTATTGTATTTGTAAGTTTTTCTAATTTATATTGAATATTGTGCTTATTTTCATCTTCCTTTTAAATATTTGTAAACAACAACGCAACACTAGCGTTAAAAACAAACTATATTAAAACTATCTTAAGAATTAAAAATTAGATTGACTAAATTAAATTAAATTAGAATTAAAAGTCGACTTTTGAAGTAAATATGACAGTTATCTTTAACTGTAGCATCAGATTCTTTAGAAATGACCGAAGTTCAAGAACAGGTTCTGGTTATAAACTGGCCAGTTGCAGGTAAACAGTCTTCCAAACTTTTTTTTTAAAACGTCAATTCGAATTTGTTGCTGATAAAAAAGATCGCAAACGAAAAACGAGGAGAAACGAAAACACGCGACTTCTCCGACGCCCCTCCCCAAGGACCGGAACGGAAAGTCTGGGGTACAAATTCCCGCCCGGCGGAGGAGGAAGGTTGCGCGCAGAGCGGACTATCCCTGCGTTCCCGCGGTTTCCGCTCCCCTGTTCTTTTCTCTTCCTTCCTTTCTCCACTCTTGCCGAGATCCGGATCCAAGA